TAACAACTTGTGCTTTGATAGATACAGGAAGTGATATAACAATATTTAAATTTTTTTTAATAAAATCATGGAATAACAATAGTAATATAAAAATAACTGGAGTTACAGGAGAAAGTATTCAAATAATTCATAGTGTTGATAAAGTTAATATAATTTTTGGAAGTAAACAAGTAACAATAAATAAAATTTATAAATATGATAAATTAGAATGTGAAATATTATTAGGAAATGACTTCATACAACAATTTCAATATTATAAACAAAATAATTATATGATAATACTACAAACACATTGTGGACACTTATTAAAAATTTCTAGAGAATTTAAATCTTATAGAGTTCGGCCAGCCTAGCGTGGTGATAAATGAGAAAAAAAACCAATTATTTATAATGAAATTAAAAATAAAAGAATAATATATAAAAATGTTTTAAAAACAGGAATAGAAATGAATATAAAAAAAATCATTGAACAACTAGAAAATGTTTATGGAGAAAATCCATTATTATTTTGGAAACTATATCACCCAAAAGCCAGAATAGAATTAACAGAAAATGTTATAATAAAAGTTAGACCAATGATATATACTATAGAAGATACACAATAATTTAAGAACCAGATAAAAGAATTGTTAGAACAAAAACTTATTAGACCTAATAATGAACCTCATAGTAGTCCGACATTTATGATTATAAAACATTTTAAACAAGTTAGAGGAAAAGTTAGGATGGTCATAAATTATAAAGAATTAAATAAATATACTAAATTTGATGGTTACTTTCTACCAAATAAAAAAGTGTTAATAAATCTTGCAAGAGGAAAACAATATTATTCTAAATTTGATTGTAAATCAGAATTTTGGCAAATAAAAATGGAAGAAGATAGTATACAATATACTGCATTTAACACACCTCAAGAAAAATATGAATGGTTAGTTATGGCATTTGGTCTAAAAAATGCACCACAAATATATCAAAGGAAAATGGATAATATATTTAAAAAATTTAATGAGTTTCTAATAGTTTATATAGATGATACATTAAAATATTCTAATAGTAAAGAAGAGTATAGAAATCATTTAATCCAATTTATTAACGAATGTAAAAAAGAATGAATTATACTATCTAAAATGAAAAACAAAAAATAGACTTTCTTGGATTATCAATTGATAAAAAAATGATAAAATTACAGACTCATATATCCAAAAAGATAGAAAGTTTTCCAAATAAATTAGAATCCAAAAAATAAATACAAAATTTTTTAGGATGTTTAGACTATGCGAAAGGATTTATTGAAAATCTTTCTAAGAAAAGACATAAAATCCATGTTTTACTTAGAAAAACAAATGCTAAGGGATGGAATGAAGAACATACAGAAATAGTTAAATCATTAAAAGAAGAATGCAAAAATTTACCAAAATTAAGATTACTAGATGAAAAAGATAATTTGATTGTTAATACTGATGCCTCAGATAAATATTGGGCAGCAATATTAAAAACATATCTAAATGAAATTTGTAAATACTCAAGTGGAACATTTAACCAAGTAGAAATAAATTATACTACTCATGAGAAAGAATTATTAGCAATTATTAGAGGAATAAAAAAGTTCTCATTATTTTTATTGTCTAAAAAATTTATTGTTGAAACTGATAATTCTGAAGTTGTAGGATTAGTCAGGAATAAACTACCATCAGAACCCCAATACGGAATACTCTATAGATGGCAAGCTTATTTAGCATTTTATAATTTTGATATAGTCCATATTAAAGGAGTTAATAATTTTCTTGCAGATTTTCTCAGCAGAAATATAGAATTTGCTGATGGATAAAGCCAAGGCCATGGAATTATAACAATCTATCCTACATATACAAAAAGGGCGGATTTTCTTAAAGAAGAATCCGAAGATATACACTCTAGAGCAACCCAGATCTCAGAGATGTTTAACTCAAATATAAAAATATTGTTGAATATTACTACTGAGCATCATAAATATGCCATAGAACTCAAAAATCAAGTTGATGTTATTGCAGCGTAACTAAAAGATATACTGTCTAAGACAGATATACCAAAGAGCTCAGAAATGAGTTTTCCAAATCAATACCAAACACGGACAGCTAGAAGCAGCAGTAGACCCAAACGTGACAATATACCAACTAATAATAAAGGAGATTTCATTTCTATATCATCAACCAAGAAAGTTATGATACACGGAGATAAAAGAGATATCAAAACAATCAACATTATAGACCAAGAAGATAAAATCTCTTTAGATCCAAAAGAAGAAAAATAAGCCGAAATAGTCAAAATCGCTTATGAAATAAAAATGAGTGATTCATATTTCATTTCTCTGGAAAATAATGTTTACCCCAGAATGACAGCCATGGAAGGAGATGACTCTTCATTTATAAAAATTATGACAGACTATGGATTTATGGATTTGATTTATCCAGGAAAAGATTTTATTGAAATTTCAAAGTTTGATGACATATTCATTAAAGAAGTATCTAGATTTGCTAAGGAAAGGAAAATATATTTGAAATTCTATTCAATCAGTCCAGAATATGATGGAGTTGTTTACTATCCAATTGAACACATAATCTCAATTGGATATGTTGCAACCAATTTCCAAATTGATGTTACAGAAAATATTAGAAAAATTCAAACAGTGACAAAATCATGGATCAGACATAGAAGAGCACTTGGAATTAAAACCATCTACAACATTGCCAAAAATTTGTTTGATAAAAAATTCTCGTGCTTGTGCCAATATGAAAATTGGATGTTGGTATCCAATGGAGGATATGCAAAATCAGAAATTTTAAAAGACTATATTACAAGATTTGATATACATTAATTTTCAGGATGTCCTACCACTATAAAAGAATCCTGCCAGTTAAGGGAGTGCTCCAGTTGCATGTGAGAAATGAAGACAATAATAGAGCACCTTTGTCAAAGATAAATGGAGAACAATAATACAGCTGCATGTGAAGAGATTGATGATAAATAACAATAATAGAAAAAGATGCATTTTGGATAAAAAGTTGAAGCAAGATGTGAAGATGTAGGCCCAAGGAGGAAAATAATAGAGAGGCAAGTGTGCCTTGTTGATGTACTCAATGATATAATAGAGTCTCATAAACTTGTATAAATAGAAAAATTGCCATAGAGAAATATCATCTCATCTTATTTTGAAATCTCAAGTTGTAAGCAATAGTTTCTCAAAAAACCCATTCCCAATTTGAAAAACCAGTTTTCTAGAAATCCCTTTGTACCGAATAAAAGTTTTGTGTAAATTCTGATAGAAATAAAATTTCAATATTTTTGATATAAATATGAGTTTCTAAATCTTTATTTCCATAGATTCTTGATAGATTTGATAAAAAGTTTCCTTCTTATTTTAACAAAAAAAAAGTTTTTCTTTAACAGAAGTCTAAGATTTCATTCTTTAGAAGTTGATACAATGAGAGCAAATAGCTGAAACAGTAACAATTCCATGAAGGCAGAAGGCCGTTGAAGGAAGCAGTTTATAAATTCAGAACTCGAAGGTCACTCGATTCTAAGAATACAAGTCTAAATCAAATTTAAGGTAAAACTATTAAACTTTTGCTAAAATTAGAATGAATCTTTTTAAGATCTTAAAGAATCGTAAGGATTAATTGCATGATTTGATGATCATTTAAATAAATACCAGGATATACAATTAAAGGATTGCATAATTTATTAGAAAGAATAATAGAAGTAATAAAAAATATGTATTCTCAATTAGAAAGTATGGATGTATCTTCTGAGAAATATAATATATTAAATAATAAATGTGAACAATATGTTGTAGATTATTCCAATTTATTAGACCATAGAATGAAATTATATTCAAATATTCAAAATAGAGTAAATATAAGATAAATATTAGGATATTTATTGCAATATAGAAAGAATCTTTTCATTAAGGGTAATATAGACTTTTCAACAAAAAGAAATAGTGATAGGTCAAATAAAAAAAATCTCTCATGCATTATTAGTGTGCCCATTGAAATTTGTTACAAGGCCTAGGTTTTGCTTCTCCTCTCATGCGTCCCTCATGTGCTGTTCCCTCCATTTTCCTTTGCCACGCCATATATATCGAATCTCTATTTTTTGTGAAGTAATGCTATTCGTAGTCGCTCACTGCGGTAGTCGCCCTACGTGACATACACATGGCAGGTGATTATTTGATACATTAATATGGTAGTTTTTTATTCATTAATGCATCAAATAACCACCTGCCATGTGTATGCCACGTAGAGTGACTGTCGCAGTGAGCGACTGCGAATAGCATTATTCTTTTTTGTGCGTTGCTGAACCTGTGCGAGAAGCATAATCGATTACATTATTCTTGAGTTTTGTGTGGATGCCAGGTCAGCAGTTTCTAGACACGTGGCTGGGAATAGTTTGGTACAGTTGGCAGCTCATTTGACACAACTCAAATGGGTGCTTTTAAAAATGTGACCTTTAAAATAATACATTTTGCCATATTGTCCCAACATGTAATTTTCTTCTATTTTGTATTCTCGGTTTTTCTTGAAATTCAATATTTGTTCTCTCTCATAGAACTTAAAAAGGAGATAACGAATAGAAGCCTAAAATAAATGAATCGATAATTTTCTCACATGGATTTATCCGGTTTTGATTAGTTAGCCCCATATATAGACACATGCAAGAATAATACCATCATTTTTGTATTTTTCAGAAAGAAAAGCTTCAAGTCATTATCAGCCTATTTGGGAGAGATTTTTTATACCAAAAATTGATTTTTTAACCGTTATTTCACTATTTCAGCAGTAATTTTTGACTTCTTCTCTCAGCTGGACCTCATTTCTCTTCTAACGGTCAAAAAATCAATTCTCAAAATCCCTCCCAAACGGGATCTATATCAATAATTGACATGTGAAAAAGAAATAAAATAATTCATAAATGTGTGATTTATCTTGTAAAATTATAGCAATTTAGGTAAAATCTAAGGCTAATAATAAAATATTTGTTGTCCTTCACTATTTAGATAATCTTTACAAATTGATGAGATGTCCCAAGAAAGTGTTCGTCGTACACCATCCTTTACAATTTTTATTCCCTCTACAGTACGAATTCAGAGGAAAACAATAACAACTCTAATTCACAATGTCTAATGGCACAAAAATTATCTCAAAAAGTGGAGTCCCAACAATCCAAATATGTATTCTGTATCAGTATCTAAAAATGCAGCCAAGCTTCTCGACTAAGTTAGCAGATTTAGCAGTCACTTTCCAATGAGCTTATAATAGGCATACAATCCCGATCCAATGAAACCTAGAAGTTGCCCGATGACATTCAACTGCGAGCAAAGTTGAGTTGACACTCATAAATAACTTGGAAACAGCGAGAAAAATAAATTAGAGAGCATAAATACTGTCAGTCGAGGAAGACAATATATAGAACAGAAGCTGAACTCACCAAGTCAAATGGGAGCCCACCGAATATCATCCATCCTAGTGTAATTGTGAAGAGATCCTACATAAGCAGAACGAGAACCAAACATTTAGAACCGAGTGCAACATACAATGCATATAAGCATGCAGCTTAGTGCCACAAAAATATACAGAGTCGTCATGTTTGGTATGGTGGATTGAACTTTTATAAAACAAATATTGAAAGTCAATTTTGTCCATTATATATTACCATCCTCTCAGATTCAGATTCAGTTAAAATTTGATTCATTATACTGCAACCATATAATTTAAATCTGAATGAACACCAAGAAGATGGGTAGCATTAGAAATGCCATTTGCAATCAAGAGTTTATGAAAAGATGAAATTACATTAGAGGTCTAGGTTAGGGGAAAAAAAAAATTAGAAACAAATGCTAAATCTCATAATTAAATGGAAAAGGAGTTTGGCCATTTTCCTTTCATTTTCTAAAAATGATTTTTCCATATTATTTTTAAACTACACATTCTTCACCGTTTTAAAAGTAACAAGCATCAGCCCTTTTTTTTTTAATGTACTTAACGAGTCGAGCTTATTGTTTAGTGTATTACTTTTCACTTTTCAGGTCAGTATGTACGTTCATGAGCGTCCTTGCTAAGAAGGAGAATGAAAATTTTAGTTTCATCATTGATAAATGATAAATGTACTGTTTGGGATTTGATTTATCTGTTGATTGCACACTATTATAGCAGGTTTAAATATTTAACGTTTTGAATTTAAGGTTTTGAAATGTTGATCAATGATCTTATATGAATCACCTTTTGAATTAGTCTGTGGTTATGTTTAATTTGATGTATTAAATGTATAACTTGTTCGACTGGAATTTGGCCCAAGTATAATTTTTAATTTACTAATTCTTGTGTATTAATTTGTATAAAATTTTATAAATTGGAATTCAGATTATTGGTGGCAATCCCATTGAAGATCAATGGATGAACTATAACTTGGTTATGTATGTTGAAAAAGATTTATTTAATAAAATACAGTCATTACAAGACATTTTCAAATTTGTAAGTATGAGAACTCATATAAAACATAAAACATTGTAACATTTTTTTATTATTATGTTATAGCATTGTTTTAAAAATAATTAAAATCCACAATTATAACATACATGCATGGAAACCAACTAAAGATTATGTTAATGAACAAACCTTTAAATTACCACAGATTGTCTGAGTGAGTGCTGAATTCAAGGTTGTGTTGAGGAATATACTGTAATTTATAAAGAAACCCAGTACGCAGGAGAGAAGCAATACGATCTGTACATTTACAAAAGAAGCTACTTTAAGACATGTAACATACTAGCCAAAGAATGATGAAAATTTTAATCTGTAAACCCGAGATAGCCAGTTCAGATATAGACAAGGGTCATCAGTAAATCAATAAAATGAAATTTTTTACTCGTTTATGGTGATTTTAGATGTTTGAAAAAATTGAATCTAATGTCTAGGCCGTGAAAAGGTAAACATGAAGGAGAATGTAATTAACTGTTTGATGACCTCTACACATTTCCATGAAAAGGCTGAATACAAGATAATACATGGATATTCGCAGCTGCAGACCAGGAGAATAATGATACTTGATAAATTCAACTATCCATTAGATCGAAATGGTAAAACATTCCAGGTATAAAAAGCGAAGAGGCAGAATTGGGAAGAAAAATATTCACTTACTGGTGATTAGGCAACAGTAAGAAGATATATATATATATATATATATATATATATATATAAAAATAACAAAACTAAGTTATTACTGTCTAAAATAAACAAAAGGTCTGAAAATAAACCCATAATGAGGAGTTGGAAGAATACAACATTATAACATGGTATAACAAGCTCAGAGCAAAGCACCAAGTTGTAGCAAAATATTCAAACTGGTGGTTCAGTTTGTAGCCAAATATTACCAGGAAACCAGGTGAAAGCAAATATGGGAAATTCATTGTCATCTCCAAGTCACCACGAAAAAGTGTCCACAGCAATAGAATGGGCCCACACAAGATTCCTATATTGTAACAATAAAATAACCAAGTTTCAACTACATCTAATTGAATATCAAATACTTCAGGGACGTAAATTACAAGGAAAATGGTTAGTTACCATTGCACCACATGAGGCCAAAGCTATTGAGCCCGCTGGATTTTCCTGAGTGAAAAAATATTAGTGACGATAAAAACCAAGCTAAATAAACACTGCGAAGACAAATGTATTCTGTACCAATGCGGGATATAGTAGCGAGATATATTGCTGTGGAGATGTTGGACAAGAAGACCACAAGATAACCATAGGAATCAAATGATAAATCCCGAGCTCCAGCAATGAAAGCACCCATCATAATCAATGCCACACTGACAACACCTTAATGATTTTTGTTAAGTACAAGAGTTAAAAATAAAAAAATCAATTCAGGTGCATAAATGCAATTGTACAAAAATCTTCTGATGATAGTAGATATTATCAGAACCCAAAAAGGAAAAAGAACATTATGAAAATAAAGCTGCAGATCATTCGTCAGTCAGTAATTCAATCATCTGCTTCCAAAAGTTGCAGTCAATTTGTTTTCCTTAAGCAAATTTGAAGTTTTTATTTTGCTATTAGATGTTTAGTAGAAGACTGTTAATCTACTCTTGATTTTTTGTAAGATGATTCAATATTGGGGAGAATATGAATATCACAGGCTGCCACGGAGGTATGCTTGTAATGGTAAAATCTTACCTTCCCAGAATAGGACGTGTATACTTCTGCCTCGCGAGAACATATTCCACGACCATTGTGAATACAACAGTTGTTCTCCGAAGGGTTGTGTACATGGGTACATTTACGCCTCGAACAGACTCCATGGTAACTAGCTTTCAAGTGAATCGAAAGAACGTGTTAACAATTATGAATACTGACAAACCACCACAGAATGAGCAAACTAAATTGCAATGAATAAAGAAATACCATGTAAAGCAAATAGGTGAAGGCAAGCGGTGAAGTGTCAATCAATGTCTTCAATGGCACCAAAGTTTTGGAACTCTCGCTGATGGCAAGGGATTCATTGCTATTAAAAGAAATAAGCTTCCAGCGTCGCAACATATAAAGCCAACAACATGAACATATCATCTGCCTCAAATACAAAATGCAAATTAATTAGAACAATGCAACAGGTGAATTCCCATGCTTTCTTTAGGCATTAAAAATGGGAGTAATGAACACTTTACTTCAAGATGAGATAAATGAATTAGGAATACATGATGAACAGTAATTGTGTTATGAAGTAGAGAGAAGTCAAAGAGCAATAAATGATACATACGCCTTCACTGCTGGATCTAGTAGATTGTATATCCAACACCGCCAGAAAAAATGAAAATCATAAAGATCAACATATTTGGAGTAAAACAACATAGTAAAGAAAGAAGAAAGAAGCTTTTCGTTTTTCTTTTTTCTCAAAATAGAAAAAACAAAAGAAACCAGCAATGCACTTACTTTAATTGCAAATTTGCAAAGATAGCAAATCTCAAAAACTAAAGTTTCTGCAAATTACACTGTGTATGGCAAAATTAAGATGCATTGCTTGCTGTTCTATTATTAATTTGATGTTTTCGGAAATAAAGGCCGCTGAAAGATTCAACCTATAAAATCCCTACTTTAAAAGGATGGATTAATAGCTATAATTCACAGTCAAGGTTGACATCTGATGCATACAAAATCTGGATAAAACTAAATTTATAACCTCATCTTTTTATTTCCTCAGTCAATGTTCAATAATTGCTTTACACGCATCTAATAAAAAAATTTAGTCAATAAAGTTACTGTGACAAATTGATACTGCATAATAAAAAGGGCAAGTCAAACATGTTAAGTTCGGCCTGCAACTAGAATTTTATCCGACAATCAGCCATTGATGTAAACAGGGCTAATAGTTTCTACCTGACACAGGGTGATGATATTGGCACAAGGGAAGTTGTACGAAGAAAGAGCTGCTTTGTTGAATAATATCAAGAGAACTGCAAAATCAGAGTCAAGACATTGCCATAAATGTTGCAATCAGACCAGTAACAGAAAGCTCTAAAGGACAGCACAAGTAACAGGTGGTACAAGGAGCATACTTGGCTAAGCTTACAAAGTTTACTTTTTAAGTACTTAAGTTCTAAAGAAAATAATATTTTATTGGTCAAAATTGGAAATAAGTTATTTATAATGTAAGGTAAAAGTTACTTTCAAGTAATTTTATTTACTTAAAATTAATAGCATGTATGCCAAGATAAGCTAAAGGAATCTCTGATATGTTCTGAACGAGCAGTATTTTACTTAATTCCCAACAATGGACAAGTGAATCTCAAAAGTCTATTGAGGCCGACAATCAACTCTTGTAAATTTGTTAAAGAATTGCAAAAGAAATTCTTTTTCTCCTTCCCAGTGCTCTGGCCCACATGGTCATCAAGAGTGGACGTAATTATGGGAGGGGAAGCAAAAAGCCATTTAGCACGAGGCGGCACATATAGTGATTTCAGCTTTAACGAATTCAATATGCTAATTAGTAGTTCAGGTAAACCCAAATAAACAACAATCTATTAAAACAAAATTACACCAGTAACAATAAAAACTTTGCACTTTTACTAATTTTCTTCACATCAGGAGTTTCAAATAAGACTTCAGATCTTCGACAACAAACTAATCATTGTTCGAGTGAATTTGGAGTTGGCTAACAGTCCTTTTACTGCCCTCTGTTCAGTTTATTGCTAGGTCTAGGATCTAAAAAATCTAGATTCTTAGCAGTTACAACAACCATGTTTTTAGTGTAAGCCAACCTCTTCTGAATTGTTTTACTGAGATGATGTTGCTCTTATTCATAGGTGGGAAGATGTCCAAACAAGGAACAAGGAAACCAAGACTTCAACTCCATGTAGCTTTAATTTTCTCGCAACTGCTTATGGAGCTGAAATTGCAGCAATGATATTGATGAAGGAACACACATACGCAGTAAGTCTCTGAAAGACCGAAAGTTTGATGAACAGTAAGACTCAACATCATGTTTCTGACAAGCCTATGTCTAACTATAACAATACGTAGTTCAAATTATGCAACTTTATCTAAACCCAATTGGAAGAAATCTATAGCAATTGCCATGAAATTCTAAGTATAATTACAAATTATCGTGCTTGTACACATATTTCCTACAATTTCAATTTCCAAACATTTCCTGGTGAAAAAATAATTTTGCTAAAAAGAAAATCAAAACATCGTTAAAGAACAGGCAACTGGATATTAACAAGGGATAAAAAATCATAATGAATTCCAAGAAAGCTGGAAAAACAAGTTTAAAAAATAACAATTCAAATAAGATGAAGAAAAGGTAATAGCTATTTATACATGCATTTACACACAAGTTACGCTCGCAAATTTGAAAATTCTGACCAAATACTCCTATTTAACTTTGGAAAAATTATACCCAGCCCAAAAACTTCACTAAACAAGAAATCGTTCTAAACCAAGATCCACAAAGAAATCAACTTTGCACAGAAATCCGAAAATAGAATTCTGGGGTCAACTTTCTAAAGAACTCAAATGAATTAAAAATCGATATATACAAAGAGAATATGCACGAAAACAAAAAGTCATACCAGCACAGATCATGTAAGAAATGGCAGCATAAGCACCGCGTTTGGTCATGGCTGAACCTCTGAAGAGCTTCTCTTCCATTCTTGGCGGAGGATCGCTTGCTGCCATTGGTAAAATCGAACTGCTCTTCATCGTTGTGTTTGTAGCCATCCCCCTCTCTCAAAATTGCCAAGTATCTGAATTTTCAAACAATTTTTTTCTCCATTAAATTTGTAAAAGAGGAAACAGGGTTCTGGGAAGATGGTAAAGTGTTGACAAGATTTTTCGTTTTGAGTATTTTTTTAACTCAGAAAGGGGAAAATTAGACCTAGGACTTAGGTCAAATGAATTTGCTTTGTGAACTCAATTTATTTACCAAAATAATTAAAATTCGCGGGATAATAAATACCTGGAATTAGAATAGAGCCCGTTTGGGAGTGATTTTGAGAATTAATTTTTTGACTGTTAAGAAAAAATGTGGTTCATCTGTGAGAGAAGAAGTCAAATATGACTAATAAATTAGTAAAATAACGATCAAAAAATCAATTTTTTGGTGAAAAAAATCACTCTCAAACAGGCTCATAATAATAGATGAGACTGAATTTTGATAAATCAGAAGATTTGATCATTGGTACGAAATTTATCTCTAGTTGCCGGATACCAAATATGCTAAAAGCTCTTAATAAAAAAAAAATTAACTTTTTTTGAAGTACCAACGTTTTCCAAATAGATAACACGTATTAGTTACATCAAATTAGAGTTTCAGTTTCGGAACAGTATTTTATTTTAGTTGAATCAAAACAAATTATAAATTAATTTAGATTATAAAATAAGTTTTGAAATGTTTTATTGCTTACTTGAAAGGAAATAAATATGTTAAAGGATTTAATCTCATAAAATAAATAGGATTACATAATTTTATCTGCAATTAATCTTTAACTCCCCTAAAGGCAAGGATGGGGGTCAAATTTGGTTCATTGCTATGCTTTGACTTGTGCATACAGATTGAAGGAAGACTTGGTCAAAATTGGACTAGAAAGTAAAAATTTGGGAGAAATACGTGGAAATAGTCTTTAGAAAATGATCATTTTTTCAAAATGACCTTTGGTCAATTTACATACCAAAAATACTCTCAATTTGGATATTACATAATAAGATACTATAATATAGAAATTATCTATTTTAGTCCTTAAAATTAAATATTGATTGAAATTTGATACTTTTAATTTGATTTATTTATTTGATTTCTATTTGTTCTAAGTAGCACCCTCTTATTGGTATCAGAGTCATAGAGATCATGAAAATTAAAATAAGAAAAATAGATAATTATTGGCGTTTAGAAGAAGAGAGGGTAGTTATATACTTTTAAAATCTATTCATAATAGATTAAAAATAATGACACTAACAATAATTAAAGAACTGCCTAGATAAATAAAAGAACAAATATTAGAAAATTTAATAATAGAAAAAATAAAAGATATATATACATATGAAAAAATTATTAATATATATGAAAATGAAGAAAATAATTTATATAACAAAGAAAAGTATGAGTGCAAGTAATAATACACATTTAAAATTGAATAAATTACTTATAAAAATGGAAAAAAATACAAGAAAAAATACGAAATATAATGTTAATACCAAAAGAAATGAGAATATAAAATAATAGACAATTAATAAAATTAAATGTGGATGATTAAGACTTGAGAGTAGATATTTTACCATAGTGAAAGAAGAATTAGTAGATCCAGATACAATTGAGAAAAGATTTGAAAAAATAATAGATAAAAAGGAAGATAAAAGATGCAAATTAACCTATGAGTTAGAAATAAGAAAAAATTAAGATGTTAATAAATGAATATATGGAAGAATTAAAATCATTAATAAAAATATTAATAAATGATGTACAAGATTTAAGAAATGAAGTAAAAGAAACAAGAAACAGTATATTAAAAATTGAAATTAGATAATTAAAAGAAAATAATAAAAATAAAGATAAAAAAAACTTATAAAAAAAGAAATGACTCGAATAGGAATGAAATATATAGAAAAAGAGAATATAGTAATAGAAACAGAAAGTATGGATGATGAATTTAGAAAGAATATAATACCAAAAATATTAGAAGAGGAAGAAGAATATAGAAAAAAGTCCTTGGGAAAATTAATATTTGAAGAAAAAGAAGATAAAAATGAATGAAAAATTGGATTTACTAATAGAAAATTTTGATCAATTAAATTTAACTGATATAAGTGAATACCAAATTTTAATGAATACTGGAGGAAGACCTAACCCAACAGGAACCTCTAAATAGGAATTACATGATACAGATGAAAGTTATGCACATATATATAATAAACCATATAGACAATTCTATGATAAAATAAGATATAGATAATCATCTAAAAGAAATAAATATAAAGATAGATTTGAATTAAATGATAATTATGATAAACCAATTAATCATGAACGAACAAAACTAGATTTAGATTGTAAAATAGATACTAAAAAGACTTATTAACTTGGGCAAATTCAATAATATTATTCTTTTTTATATAATAAAGATGACACATGGAAAAATATTGAAAGAAGAATAGATTTCTTAATAGTATCATTTGAAGGAGATGTTAGAAATTGGTGGGAAGGAATAAGCAATGATACAAAAATATTAATAAAAAGAAATGTACAAATAGAAATAATAAAGTCAGATAGACAATGTATAAAAAAGTTAGTAGAATATATTTCAGATAAATTTTTAGGAGAAAATTGGATAAGAAATGTTAGAGAAGAATCATTAAGAGAAAAAGATAATGTTAGAATAAAATTAATAAATTTAACAATATGTGATATGTGTAAAATTAAATAATATACTTCTGAATTTAAAAATTACTATGATGTTCAATTTTATAGTAATGAAAATTAAGAAATATACCAAGATATGTACTATAATAAGTTACCGGGTTCATGAATAATATATTTTAAAATAGAATTTGAAAAATATGTCAAAGATAATATTGGAATACTTAGAACTTTAGGTTCAAGAATAAAAATTTTATTTGAAAGACTTGCATATATATGTTAACAAAGGCAATTAATGAAAAAATCAGGAAAATTAACTAAAATATATTGTGAAGATATGAAAACTCATGTGCAATGAGGATGTAATCCTAAAAGAATAATTAATAAAAGAAAGTATAAAAATAAAAAAAAATAAAAAAATTTAGGAATTTTAATAAAAAAAAAATATAAAACCTAGAAAAAGATATTACAAAAGAAAAAATAACTCATATAATCAACATAAGAATAAAAATAAAAATAAAAGTCAATGTAAATGTAAATGTTGAAATTGTGGAGAAATAAGTCATATAAGCCCTGATTGTGATAAAAAAAAATTATAATATTACAAAAAGAATATTTAAAAATAAAAGATGAATTAAGTGAAATATCAGATATTGAAGAATACTATAATCAAGAAGTATATATAAGTGAAATAGAGGATAAATCAGGATCTAAATAGAGAAATTGAAGAAATAGAAAGTAATAACATAAATATACAAGAATATGAATGAATAGAAGAATATGGATTAAATGTCACTTTTGATAATAATAAGTTTAGAAAATTGTAAAAATTATCTTTAGATTTAAAAATAGGAAAATGAGAGGTCTTTGATAGAATATGGAAAAAAGAAAGAATATCAATAAATGAATATCACAAAATAGAAAAAATCATAGATGTAAGAACAACTTATGGGCAACATAAATTGAATCTTTTAATAAAAAATACATTTGAAGAACTATTAACAAAGATTAGTAAAAAATAAAGTTAAAAAATTCAATATGTTTATTTAGCAGGTATACAAATAATATTTAAATCACTATTTAGAGAAGGAATAAATTCACCCTTAATTATAACTTTACATGATGGAGGAATAATAAATTTAAAAGATAGTCATTTAGGAATTTAGCATATCAAAAAATTATATTTACGTGTTATCCAAAATATTGTGCATCAATAAAAGATAGAAACTTTAATAAAGTTTTAGGACTACATTTTAAGCTTCATAGAGATGATATCATGCAACCAGGTGATCAAATTATGACTATAGAATATAGAGTTTTATATACATTTACTAACTCTAATTATGGAAATATTTATTCTAATAAATCATATATTGAAGTTTATAAAAAATGTAAAGATATTAGTAAAATAATAAAATCAAATAAACAAATAAGCTTAATTTCAGGAAAAAAAACGAATTTAGCATAACAAAAGATAAACATGAAATAACAAAATTAAATGAAGGAGAAAATCTAATAATATAATATTTAAGGATGAAAAATTAATTAAAAGATCAAAAAGTTTTAAAATACCTAATAAAAACGAGTTAGAAGAAATCAACAAAATAAAAGAAGTAAAACTATATAGAAACGCTGGAAATATAAAAATAGAAGAAAAATATTATAATGGAAGAGAAAATATAAATGGACCAAATATATTAATAGATATAGAAGCTAGTGAATGTCATATAGTTTCGATTAGAAATAAATGTTTAATAACTCATAAAACTGAGCTATATAAGTATGTAAATTTTGATGGACAAATACATATTACAAATTTAGAAGTAAAGGTACCAATAAAAATAGGAGGAATAGATCTTTTAGTACCATGTTACATAGATAAAAGTATGGATATAAATTCTCATATACTCTTAGTAATGAGTTTTCTAAATGGATTAGAAGATTATAGTATAAAAAGAGAAGGATTATATATTGTTCATAATGGACAAATTACATTATGTAAAAAGAATTAGATGAATAATCAGATAAATTTTTCATTAGCTGTGTATATACAAATTACTATTATAGAAACAAATATGACAACTTGTGCCTTAATAGATACATGAAGTGATATAACAATATTTAAGAGTTTTTTAATAAAATCATGGAATAATAATAGTAATATAAAAATAACTGGAGTTACAGAAAAAAGTACTCAAATAATTAATAGTGCTGATAAAATTAATATAATTCTTGGAAGTAAACAAGTTACAATAAATAAAGTATATAAATATGATAAATTAGAATTTGATTTTTGGCAAATAAAAATGGAAGAAAATAGCATACAATATACTGCATTTAGCACACCTCAAGAAAAATATGAATGATTAGTTATGTCATTTGGTCTAAAAAATATACCACAAATATATCAAAAAAAGATGAATAATATATTTAAAAAGTTTAATAAATTTCTAATTGTTTATATAGATGATATATTAATATGTTCTAATAGTAAATAAGAACATAGAAATCATTTAATCCAATTTATTAATGAATGTAAA